AGAGGAAGAGATAAGTGGGGACCTAAACTATTCATTTACCTCAAAATTTTGTAAATATGTTTTATTTTATTTTAGAAAATGGGTGGGCTTTAGTTTAGCATCCCACGATTTCAGGGTTAAGAGGGGTATGGTTGGTAATTATGCGCCGGAAATTTATAGTTTTCGAGATATTTGCATTTTAAGTTGAAAATTTCACAAATTTCATTTACAATTTCTCGATTTATGGTTATCTTTTCTTCATATTATGCACTTATTATACACTAACTTTTCACTTCAATGTTTCTACATATTTATTTTATATTAAATATTTAAGTATTTGCATATAAGCATTTATTTTTACACAATTTTCGTAATATGAACAATAACAAATGAGTTCCATGTTGTCAGATAATAAGTGTTGCCGTATCTATTATATATATATATATATAAATATATATTTTGAAAGCGAATTAAAATGAACAATAAAAGAGGATTATACCCAAATACATGAACTATAATTTTGTTCATTCCCTTCTATTGATAAATTATGGTATTGGATTGGCCAGGGTTATTTTTAAAGGCGGTCGAAGGCCGCCAGTGCTAAAAGAAGTTTGACGCGATTAAATTATGAATGATATAATAAGCAAATTAGATAAAATCATAATCTCACTGGAGACCAATAACTATAATATATAATGTATTCATATTTCATGTGTTTATGCAAACAAATTTAAAAATACATTTAATATCGTAGTAATACAATTCCTAAATTGTAGATATAGAATATCTTGCCTTTTGAGTCTAATATTTTCATTGCTCTCATATAATAACATTGCTGGCCTGAATATTTTTATCTCAGTTTTAACAAAAGGCATTTTAAGATCTGAATGGATGGCCTTATTTATTATGAACCAAGGGGCGTTCTTAAATAATCTTAGAGGTTTTGATTGATATCTTTGTAAAATTTCAATATATGAATTACTAGCAGTGCCCCAAATTTGCACACCAAGGTCTACATAGTAGGTTTACCGTAAGTATGGCTTTATACAATAGCAATTTGTTTTCTAGTTGTAACGGCGACTTATGTCCGAGTAGCCAATAATCTTGGTTAGTTTTTATTTTTAATTGTTTATTTTTGGCTTGCTATGCTGTATCCATGTTAACCGTTTGTCCAAGTGCATGCCGAGGTTCACTTTTAGGAATATTATTGCAAGGGGAGGCTGTCGCTTCGCCTTAATGCAAATAAAACATGTACAGATTTACTTTCATTTTCAAGCAATCTAGCCAAGTCTGTATCTTGTCCAATTCTTCTTGTACCATATTAATTGCTTCAAGTGGAGGATATTATAGCAGTGCCATCAGCTTAAGTAGCAATGAACAATAAGCTGTAATTTACTAAAGGTGTATCGTGATATCGGCGAAACCCAAATTGATGTTCTGGTATCACCTTATTCTCATTTAGTATTAACACTCCTCTACTCAAAAATATTTTGGAGAGTAGAGACAACAAACTGATTGGTCTATATGAAGTGATTTCGTTCTCGGCTTTACCTGGTTTGGGTACCATCACAATTTCACCACACTTCCACTGAGTAGGGAAATGGTTAAGCCTTAATATGGAATTATAGATAAGTATAGAAAGTGCTTTACTTTTTTCTGTTCTACACCAAACGTTATTACTGACTTTTAATAACTAAATTACAAATTAGCATTATTTAAAAGCCTGAATTAATTTTTATCGCCGTCTCAATGAAGAATTTTTAAAATTTATTTTACTTTAGCAAAAGCCGCGCAGAAAAAATGGCAAAATTTTCGGAGTATATTAGTGAGAAAACTAAAGCAAATTCAGATGGGCGAATCCGTCCAACAGTATTACTTATACGATCACATGAAATATATAATACCATATTTGAAGAAAACATATGAGCCTGGAATATTGAAGAGAACGGTGAGACAAGCGTTACGAAAAATACATGTGGAGCCAGCGGAATATGAGACTGGATCAGAGCATAGTACCGAAAATATGGAAATCATTGAAAACCTGACAGAGGACAGTCACGACCCAATTTATTTCGAAAATTATGAACCTAACGAAAACAATGCACTAAAAAAAATGAACATAGCAGTTAGCTCAGAAGACGAAGGCGAGCCAGAATTCGACAATGACGTGGTTTCTAAATCTCAGCGCAGCGAACCCCGGGATAATATTCTGGTTAACGATAAAATGACGAATTTCAAACTAATGGATGCTGCTTCCACACCCGTGCCATATAATAAGCAACGCGACCAAACAATCTTTGGTGAAAGTCCGAAAAGACAATTTGTATTAAGCTTATTGCCAGATCTCAACGAAATGACCAACTCACAAATGCGTCAATTTAAGTTCAAAGTTCTGCAATTAATCGATGAAATATTAAATGAAAACAATATCTAATTTACTAAGTATAAAAATAAAATGAATAAAGTTTTCGTGTTTTCTTGTAGGCGTATTTTATCAAGCTATGTATTCAAAGAATAAAATGAGTAGAAAACTGGGGTCGTCTTTAGAATACCGTCCCAGGATTTCGCGGATAAAATGGGTATTGGCAAATAGAGGAGGTTCTCCAGATCGAGCATACATGTAGCGCCGCGGGAAACCTATAGTTTTCGAGATATTTGCATTTAAAGTTGAAAATTTTATATCCATTAACACTTCACTAATTCGTTTTTACACATATATTTTATATTATATAGAACAGAAATAGCTTTAATTCAAAATTCTATTAAATAACAAAAGGGTTGCAAAATGACAAATAACCTGTGCTACCATACTAACATATTTTGCAGACGAAGAAAACCATAATCGTTGATGGATAATAATAAATCTTTTAGTATATTTCTTCACTTGAGAAAAGCCGGTGCTTTACTGACCAGGGTTATTTTTGGTAAATGTATAGTTTAGGTCCCCCAACTAAGGCGTCTAAAATAAAATTATTTATAAATCGTCTTATTTTTACGCGTAAATTACAAATCCGTGAGCGGAAAGTGAATTTTTTCAATATTTCTATTTTGTTTAAATTTTTTAAAATACATATTGTTCAAATTTTTTGGTGTATTTACTCCTCTTCTTCATAAACGTTTCTGAAAATTTATAGTAAAGTATCAATGTTAGTGCACTTTTATTGTGATATTAATAATTACACATACTCTGCATCGTGATGAAAATTATAATCGAGGTTGAGAGCAGCGAAAAGGAGTCTGACGCGATTGAATAATGAACACCCCGGTTTTGGACCCACCAAGGTTATTTTTTGAAGCGCGGCCGAAGGCCGCCACTGCGGAAAGGAGTTCGACGATCTCCGATATTCGTCCATACCATCAGATCGCGGCGCAAAAGAAATTGTGACTGTTACATTTCTTCAGTATATTTTTTTCATAAGAAAATGTTTAACACGCTGAACTGGTAATTACAGCTAAGTGATCTGAATTTTACAGAATTTTGCCGCTATAACAACAACAGCTAAGTGACTTGAATATGTGATATGTGCAAAGTGTGTTAAATAAATTTAGAAAAATGTACATAAATTATTGAAAAAATTCACTTTCCGTTCACGGATTTGTAATTTACGCGTAAAAATAAGACGATTTTAAAAAATTTAATTTTAGACGCCTTAGTTGGGGGACCTTAACTATACATTTACCTTATTTTTTTGAAGCGCGACCAAAGGCTGCCCACGGAAGTAGGAGCTCTACGCGAAAATAAATTGGTACACCCCGATGTTGGTCCGACCACGATTATTTTATTTTTAAGGGACGCCAACACAAAAAGGAATGCTACGCGAAAAAATAATATTGTCATAAAGAGTTATAACATTATCTTTAAAATTAATATTCTCTAACAGATATTATTACAGTTTTATTATATTAGACTAAGGCACGGGTTGTCAACCAATATTCTACTACTAAAATCACACTTGGTACGGGTTGCCAACCAATATTCTACTACTAAAACGTCCAATTGACTCAAATCTGCATCAGTGTGTTGAAGATTCTTAAAGATTAAATTTACATTTAATATATAATATATATAGCTGTGGGTGATTTAGAATATTTTGTACATATTATTTATTAATTGGTTGTGGTTGTTGTTGTAGCGGCAGAATTTTGTCGAGTTGACAGTTCTTAGCCGGAAAAAATACGGGTCCGTTCCAGTTACGTAGACCCGACTGTTATGGGAACGGATTTATTAATTGGTACATTCCTGTGCTTATTATTATTCGTGTCCCTGAATTGTACCTAATTTTTTATCCTATTATTATTGTTTCTATTAATCTACGTGTATATTGTTTTCACTTATATTTGTTCATGAATACAATTGAATTCTACCTGATTTTTATATAATTATTTTCGTTTTTGTTTAAATCAAGTTGAAAATTTCAACATATATTGTTAATGTAATTAATATTCCTGAGCCTGATTCATGTATCTGATTTTATGTATATATCGTTTTGAGTTATATTTGTTACGAAAAGTAGATTGTTTTAGAACTGTATATATGAAATGGATGAATGTAGGCCTCCTGGGGAACCGAACACCCAAAAAAGATCGGTACCGCGCCTATATTGCAACCTCAGAGGTGGTGAGGACAAGCAATAAATATATAATAACCTTTTGTTTCGAAAATATTCTTGAAAGTTTTCATTAATATTCTCAATTACAAAACATGTACACAAACAAGTTGTTAAAGTACATTCTTTTATTTACATCTCTGTGTCTAAATAAGGCAGATTCGATCACGCGATCACGGCTGTGTCACACACATAGGAAAACAGCTGATTCTTTGGCTACTTGTAGGTTTATACAATGTATGTGATTATCAAGACTAATAAAATACAAGATTACTATAAGAATTTACCGTTACTTTTTTCGGTTTAGGATGTTACAATTGTTACAAAAACAAATTGCACTATGTCGTCATCTTGTGACGTAGTTCCTTAGAGTTGAGAAGAAGAAGCGTAAAACAGCATGTAAATTGTAAACAAAAACGTAAACACTTTTGTTAATTCGTGAAATAAAGGAAAAATATTTTGGTAGTAATTTATATATATTAATTGGCAATTATGTTTTCTAAAATGAATGGCTAAAATTATTTGTGATTGTGAAGGTTGTATTTATTTAAATTTATAAGAATAAAATGTATTGATTATGAAAAATGGAGTGTACGGTGAAGAGTTCTAATAAATATTATGCAAATAACCCATTAAAAACGTTTTTTTTTTCAGTTTTCCTTCGGACATAAAAGTTCCCAAGAAATTTGTAATATTTTATAGGCGAAATAAGTATCTGAGAACTACTATTAATATACATATGTAAATATTTGCGTATAATATAAGGAACTACTGCTGGATACATCGAAATTGCAATCACTCACTTAATTGACAATTATGTTGTCAATAGATAAAAGTATTTATTTAAAAATGACCAAAATATTACCCGTAACATTAATCTATTTATTTCAGTAAGATTTTTTCACTACAAACTTATAAATTGAGTTTATTTCACGACCATTGTATATATATACAAGTAACCAATCCAAAGACTTTCACTAATACACACGCAAAAATGTCCCACTTGGTAGGGGTTCCCTCAAAAATTCTACTACTAAAGTCACACTTGAAACCGGTTTAACACTAATATTCTACTACTAAAACGTCCAAAAGCCTCAAATCTGCTATAATGTGTTGCCGTGTTATGCTTTAAATTTTATAACTTTCAGAATGTTTTTATTTCATATCCAAATGTTTTTCGATTATTAAAATTCTTAAAGATTAAATTTACCTTTAATAAGTATATGACTGTGAGTGATTTAGAATCTTTTGTAAATATTATTTACTAATTTGTACATTATGTTGTGCATGAACTGTACACGATTTATTTATGATATATTATTTTTTAAGGTGATTATTTCGACTTATATTGTTAATGGTATTACTATCCATGAAGTGTACCATTTTATATATATATATATATTTTGTCTTGTTATATTTGGTAGGAAAAATAGATTGATTTCGAACTGTTTATATTATACGGATGATTTTAAGCCTCCTGGGGAACGGAAAACAGATCGGTAACACGCCTACATTGCATCCTCAAAGGTGGTGAGGAAAAACAATAAATATGCAATTAACTTTTGTTTCAAAAATACTTTTGATAATTTTCATTAATGTTTTGAATTACAAATACATGGTCACAAACAAGTTGTTAAACTATATTCTTTTATTTACATCTCTGTGTCAATAAAAGGAAGATTCGATCAGGTGATCTCAGCTGTGTTACACACATAGGAAAGCAGCTGACTCTTTGGTTACTTGTTGGCTTATACAATTACTTGTCTGCTCTCAAGTCATTGTGTGAAACAGCCGTGATCAAAGGAAAATTCTATTTAACTACGAGTGGACGGGAAGAAATAACTATTGTAACAGAATTTGATATTATAAGTAATAATAATTTATATAATCAAAAAAGCTAAACTTATCATTGTCATACAAGTGATAATAATGTATTTAAACAATTAAGTAAAATTTATCATTATACTTATATAAAAAAAAAAAAATTATTACTGTGCTGATGTTGTCTCTAATTTAAGTATAGATTTATTTAATCACAAATTTTATTTACGTTTTATAAATTCATTTATTAATATTTAATTGTATTTTTGCAACATTTAGCGGTGGTATATATACAATATTTTATTACAAATCTTGACATAAAAACTTACCATATTATATACATAGTTCTTAGTTTAGTTTTTAAATATATAGACTTCTAAAATAAATTATTTGTTGAAGTTGCAATATATTTATAGTATAAAATACGGTAGGCATACAAGGAGCTGTCTCTGTATTTCAGGATGTAGCGATTATAATATGTACAATATTTTACATAAATAAATTACTATATTGTTATATAGTTCTCCGCATACGTGCGGAATTAGCCGAGTCAGAAAAGGCAAGAGAGTTTTTTAAGTGTTGAGATTTAAAACTGCTCAGCTACAGAAACAAAAATTTCAACATCTAAGACTTATTAATACTTATAATAAATTTTTACATTTTCATATTGTAACGGATTTCTCGATAAATTGTCTACCTGTAACTCACTCTTGAGTTCGATCACTGGATTGTTAAATAAAACTCCCAATTTAATGGCTTCACACTTATCTATATTTCTAATTCCAACAACTTAACACTTATTGCTCGTTATTCGAGCTTACAACTTCTTGCTTATGTCTCAATTGTTCTTATCACGACAACACTCTAACTATAACTGTGTTTGCTGCACAATCCGGCAGCCCTTATATAGTAAATCTCTAACAAAACATTGCTTCTAGAACATTCTGGCAACTACGAATTCGCTAACTAGCTGCTTTTGGCAGTTTATCGTTGATTCGATTTTGTTCTATCATCCGTGTTCGTCACACTGCCCTCCACCTAAGTATGATCGTCCCGATTAG